ACCAGCCGCTCCGCGGGAGAAAGATGAGGCTTTCTACTCCCGTAAAGATTTACACCCTCGGAAACCCTGTACAGGGTCGCTATGGGTCGGACCCGACTCAAAAGGCACATTACAACAACAACAACAATGTAAACTGATGTGTAGCCTTGTTGCCCTGACCATGTTAGCTGTTATCTAGTCTCCTTATTAGCAAACTAACTTGCTACTTTTGCTTCTGTACTCCCCACTTCAGCAAATTCCTTTAGATAAGCCCCTAGACCCTGAGCCAGGAATGGAGCCAATATGAACTAGCAGCCAGCTCCTTGCAACATGCCCTGCCGTCCGGCTATAGCTGTCTGTTGTGCCAATAAAATTCTCTAAATTGGACATTATAGTGGTCATCCTCCTTGTTTGAGACTTGAATCCGTAACAGTATAGTGTGTTAAGCACTGGTCTGTAACTTCTAAGTCATCAGTTCGAAACCACCAGCTGCTCCGCAGGAGGAAGGCAAAACTTGCCGCTCCTGTAAACTGACAATCAGAAACCCAAAGGGGCAGTTCTACTCTGTCTTTCACGGTCACGATGAATCAGAATTTACTTCATGGCAGTGGTGAGTGGTAGGTCTGGAGGAAGCCTCATGTACAACCTACACTCTGCAGGTGATACAACCTTCCTTACTGACAGAGGACTAGAAGCACTTGCTGATAAAGATCAGTGACTACAGCCTTCAGTGTGGATTACACCTCAATGTAAACAAAAGTCCTCAGGATTGGACCAACCAACAAACTCATTATAAATGGAGAAAAGATTGAATTTGTCAATGACTTCATTTTGCTTGGATCTACAATCAACACCCAGTCAAGAAATTAAACAACATATTCAAATCTGCTGCAAAAGACCTCTTACAAGTGTTAAAGGCCAAAGATGTCACTTGGAGGACTCAGGTGCTCCTGATGCAAGTCAAGGTGTTTTCAATCTCATATGCATGCATGTGAAAGCTGAACAATAAACAAGGAAGATAAAGTTCGGCAGAAAACATGGAATATACCAGGGACTCAACAAATGCATGAACAAATCTGTGTTGGAAGAAGTATAGTGCGAATGTTCCTTAGAAGCCAGGAAGGTGAGACATCATCTCATGTATTTATTATCAGGAGGGACCAGTCTCTGGAGAGAGACGTTACGCTAGGTTAAGTAGAGGGTCAGTGAAAAAGAGGAGGGCCCTCAGTGAGATGGACTGACTCAGTGGTTACAACATGGGCTCAAACAGCAAAGCTTGTGAGGTTGACACAGACCCGGGTAGTGTTTGGTTCTGTTGTGCATGGCGTCACTGTTCACTGGAGCTGATTAACAGTACTGTAATCATGCAGAGAGGACAGTGTATCCCAGCACGGTCCTCCTGTGGTATCCAGCCCACAGAGCTCTGGTGGACACCACAGCACAGGTGGCCCGTTGGGTGAAAGAGCCATCCCAGGAAGGAATGCCCACCTGTGGCTACCAAATGACACTTTCATCTAAGAGGATGTGCATCGTGGAGCTGAAGGCCGGTGACTCTGTGAAGGCAGAGTTGTGCCACTTTGTGCTTTTGGGGGACCCTCTGGCCGTTAAGGAACAGGTGGGTCCTGGGGTGATCTCTTACCGTACAGCCTCTGAACAGCTTTTCGGTCGGACCAGTCCAGTTCAAAGGCCGGCTTCTGGGGAATGTAATTTGGCTGCATGACTGATCCTGTCCTGTAGGTGTGAGGCAAGCCGAGGACATGGCCGATTTCATGGACAGCCACCTGCAAGTGGGCACAAGACATCAGTGCCCACCACGAGACAGCCTGTGTGAATTAGGGAGCTGGGTAGAGACGCTCTGGTGTTTTGGACACGGGCTGCGTATGCTGGGCAGTGGGGACACTCACTCTGAGAAGACTAATGCCACTGTCGCTGGTGGGAGAAGTGAAATGTTCGTCATCATCAAAGTGAATGTCACCCAGGCGCCAGGCATGGGCAAACTCCTGCCCGCTCCCATCGAAAACCCGTGGGCATCCCAGGTGTCGGCCTGCCAGGGGAGAGGTGGTCTGGGTGAATCAGGAGAGCCCACCACGACGCTTCCTCACCTACCTGGACACTCACAGGCCCCACCACGAAAGTTGGTGAACGGGGGTGCTGACAGCTGTCCTGCCCAGCTCCCCAGTCAGATGTCCTGGGTGACAACAGTGTGCTTATGAAATATAAAGACACCCTGTGCCAAGTGCCGTAAGAGCAGTGAGACTGTGTGTGTGTGAGGGTGGGGGTGAGGGGGGAGGCCTCATGGAGAAACAAGATCTGAGCCAGGACCTCCCCTCTACGGAGGGCAGGAAATAAAGGGGTGCTCATAGTCCCGACTCCCAAAGAATGAACATGGTCAGCTGCTAACTGAAAGGTTAGTAATCTGAGTCCTCTCAGAGGTAGGTACCTCCGAAGAAAGGCCTGGCGACCTGCTTCTGAAAGAGTGTTGGTGTGAAGTCGATTCCGACCCATAGGGACTCTGTACAAGGTTTCCGAGGAGCAACAGGTGAGCTTGAACTGCTGACCTTGCAGTTCAAACGGCTTTGCAGTCTGGTGCATTAACCCACAGCGCCACCCCCAGGACTCTGAGAGGTTAGCCATTGAAAACTCCGTGGAGCACAGTTCTACTCTGGAGCAGAGGGGACGTCCTGGGTTGGGTGCTCCTAGTCTGTTGATAGTAAGCTGCGGGGGACGGGAGCCAGGACAAGCACACACCAGGCTACACACACCCCACATTGTCTAGTGTGCCCCACACTCAGGAAGGTCTGAGAGAGGCCCCTTACCTCTTCCAAAGCCCAGCTTGATGTCCACTTCAGCCACTGGGCCAACCAGGTCTTCCTGGAAGTCCAGTGGCGTCACCTCGCTCCACATGCGGAAGGCCAGTCTGAAGACATACCGCTGCTCGTCGGCGGACAGCTGGCTGCTGTAGCCCTCGCCCACCAGCCTCCACTTGAGGGTTCTTTTGGAGAAGACCCTGGCGGCCCCTCTGGTCCCTGGCTTCTCCTCCCGGCCCCGCAGGAGAGGGAGTCGTTGCAGGAAGCGTCTCACACGAGCCCGGGCTGCCGAGGGCCCGGGGACGCTGTGAGGGTCGGGGACGCCGCAGCGCGGTCTGTTCATGGCGCGCAGCGTGGCGGCGTCGAGCGCCCCGGTGGCCGGCAGTCGGTTGGCGCTCTGGAAGGCGCGCACAGCCTCCGCAAAGACATGGGGTCCCGAGGCTCCGGGTGGGCGGGCTGCAGTCCAGCCGTACTTGGTCAGGAAACGCTATGGAGAGAAGGTCCAGGCGGTAGCCCCTAAACACTTTCTGCTGTGCCCAACTCGGACGTGCTCTGTCCACTTCCTACGGGGTCTCCTGTCTCCAGACCATGCTGCATGCGTCCTGTGTTGTGCCCTCTGCCTGGATCCCTCGCTCCACAATGGTGGCGTTCTTGGGACATCGTGGGGACTCAACTCAAAAGTCATTGTGGGGTCGGTGCTTGTACGTCTAGGACATCAGCCTATCCATCTGTAGTTCCTGTGGGCGGGTCATCGCCGATCTCTTTCTAGAGACTGCCTCCTATTTAAGTATTCTGGTAACTTCTGGGTAAGCACGGTGTGGGTGTTAACAGTCCCACCAAGCCATCCTCCCCTTCCAGGCTCGGCTCACCTTCCCCACTTGTCCCCACCCATCCCTGGCCGTAAACCCGTCTGCAGAGGAGCGCAGCGCAGCAGCCAGGCCTTCTCTGTGCAGAGCGATTTTTACATCTGCTAGTGAGATCTGGTAGTGTAGTGGTTACGAATCGGGCTGCGAACCTTAAGGTCAGCAGTTCGAAACTACCAGCTGCTCCGCGGGAGAAAGATGAGGCTTTCTACTCCCGTAAGGATTTACACCCTCGGAAACCCTATACAGGGTCGCTATGGGTCGGAACCGACTTGAAGGCACTTAACAACAACAACAACAGTGAGATATAAGTAAGTGAACCCGCAGGACAAGACGCCAGCTTGCACGGGTTGTAACGGAGGACTCCTTTAACACCCAGTGCGCATGTGCGGGCCTCTCCTACCTGAGCAGAGCGGAGGTCGGCGATGGGTTGGGCCTGGCGCAAGACGGAGTGGTCCGGGCTGTGGGGAAGGGTCTCGCCCTGGGCATGCCGGGGGTCCAACAGCCAGCAGAGCAGCAGAGTCGGACGGAAGATGGAGACAGCGTGCATGGCTCCCAGTGAGTGAAGGAACTTTGCCCCGTCTCTGTTTCGTCCCCGTCTTTCCTCCTTCCAGAGCAGGGCCGCGGGGAGGCTTTTATGAGCAGCCACAGAGGCGGTGTTAAGCATCCAATCATTTCTCACCAGGCCCCGAAGCGTGCCCACCAGGCTTGGAGGTCACAGGTCAGAGAGGTGCTAGCTTTTGAAGAGCCCGTGCCCACCTTTCTTGTTAGCCCGAGACCTCCCTGCTGGTCTCATGTGTGTGTGCACTCGGCCTCAGGTAATTGAATGGCAAACTAACACGTGCCTGTGGAGTCCACTCCTGTGGAGGTGGTGTCAATTGCTGCAGACTTCCGCCTCTGTTCCTGGAGGCAGACCGCCTCACTGGTAACAGTTATCTCAGACAGGGGGCCTAAACCTTAAAAACCGTTATTTGTTCCAGGCGAAGGAGAGGAGCAGGAGTTGAGGATTTTTAGTTTGTCTCGGTCATTTATTTTTATTTCTCTTTATTGTCTTTATGTCTCTTTATGAAATACCCGGTCAATGTAGAAAATGTTTAAGTTTAAAATGTACCGAGTTGCTATTAAGTGCCATGGAGTCAGTTCCAACTCGGAGTGACCCTGTATTGGGTCTCCAAGGAGCAGCTGGTGGGTTTGAAGCGCCAGTCTCGTGGTTAGCAGTCCAGTGCTTATCCTTCAGTGCCACACCAGGATTCCTTATGATTCAGATAGGAATGTTTGGAGAATGTTCTTGCAGATGAACCTCTGTGTGTGTGTGTGTCCTCTCACAGAAATGCCCAGTGGTGGCTGCTCAGGCCAGGAGCTAGGACTCCAGACCAGATCCCTGCTGTCTGTGCCCAGGTCCTGTGAGGTACATGTGTTTTCCTGGGCACCCTCTAGCCTTCCAAGTGGCCGTCATCCACTGATGATCCAGTCAACCCATTCGTACAGGCCTTCTCTACCCCAGGCCTCCCACCATCAGTGTCCACTGCAGAACCACATGCTGCCCTTTCTTGCAGGCTGTGCTGACGACCCTACAGGCCAGTGGGCTCCCACAGCTCCGGGCCAGTTTGCTGAGGAGAAGGTACTTACAGTTTGGGCTGCCTGCTTTCTCTAGGGTGGACAATTCCTTTGGATTGCTATTCAGATGAGCCAGATTGTCATTCCAGTTCAATTGGGTAGTAAGCAAATACAATGGCTTAGGAGGGAGACTGGCCCACAGTAAGAGAGAAAGAGAACTCGGGACCAGGGGCTGAGGAAGGGCCTGGCTTACAAGTTGGAAGTAAGTCTGTGGAACAGAGCTGTCTGGTGTTTAGAAAAATGTCTGTGGACCCCTGGGGTCAGCACTAACCCCTGTGCAGGTCACCACGGAGACTGACTTCCGTACCAGTGCTGATGTGAGGGACCCAGGCCTCCTGAAAGCCGACTGCAGGGCTGGTGCACCCATGGTGGTGCCTGCGTCCCAGTTCACGTCCACGGTCTTGAGGCTGTAAACCTTTACAGGAGCAGACAGCTTCATCTTTCTCCTGCAGAGCGGCTGGTGGGTTTGAACCACCGACCTTGGTGCCCACAGGAGTGTCTCTATAAAATGCTCCCGGTGTTTACCCCCACCCACCTAGATGGAGGGGGCAACACACAGGGCGGCAGGCTCATTCCCCAGCTAACATCCTGGACCAAGACGTCAGAAAGAGTTGCCAAGTGTGGGGTGTCGGAATGTTGGGGTACAGAAATGTGGGGTTTAGGAGTGTGGGGGTGCAAGAGTGTGGGTTGCAGGGATGTATGGGAGAGCACAAGAGTGGGAAAATAAGTGTGGGGTTCAGCAGAGTGTTAGGGTAAAGCAGAGTGTGAAGTACAGGATTATGTGGGGGTGTAGGTGAGTGTGGGGGTGCAGGTGTACATGGGCTGTAGGGGAGTGTAGAACTGCAGGTGAGTATGGGATTATAAGAGAGGGTGGGGCTGTAGGCGAACGTGCAGTTACAGGCGCGTGGGGGCAGGGGGCAAGAGTGTGGAGGTGCAGGTGAGTGAGTGTTCAGGGTGCCCAGTGCAGAAGTAGCCCTTCCAGGGAAACACCCCCCTCCCCCACAAACACAGCCTCCCCTGAAGACTGGAGGAGAGCTGCTCAGCTCTTTATTTGCATTTATTTTTAGAGAAATTGTAATAGTCTCCGGCTCTCCAAGCAGGTGGATCAGGGTCTTCGTGCAGAACGGTCAGTGTCGGGGTCTTCGTGCAGAATGCTCAGGGCTCGTGCAGCATTGTCACACTAGCTACGTCACCTTTCTGACTTGAACACGTTGGCTTCCAACAACAAAATGAAAGCAATGCACAACTTCCCTTGTGGGCACACTTAACTGGTTTATTGGGGTCTGCAGTTACCAAAAAGGCCAGCAGTTCAAACCCACCAGCAGCTCAATGGGAAAATGATGAGGCTGTGTGCTAGGGTAAAGATTTAGTCTGGGAAGCACTAGGGGGCAGTTACACTCTGCCCTATAGGGTCCTGGAGAGTTACAGCCTCCAGGATGGGATGTCACATGGCCTGCTGCCAACCCTAGGTATCTGCGCCTGGCTCTGGACCCTGGGGGCGGGGGGGGGTAGGGGAAACGGGGGGACAGGAGGGGCTTGGACTTGGGCTCCCTGAGAACCCCCCCGCCCCGTGATTCCCTCCACCCTGGGGGCGGAGCAGCTCAGCAGCAGCCCTGGGTCTGGAGCACCTTCCGGATGCCTTCGGCCAGCGCGCCTGGTGTGGGGCTCTCTGCGGTGCAGCTCACAGGCAGGCCCTGGGTAGCCATCGCTTGAGCCGTGGTGGGGCCAATGGCTACGAACTGCAAGGAGAGTACAAGAGGCCTCAGTGCACCTGGTTTGAACTCACCCCACACAAAGTCCTGGCAATTTGTGTCTAACAGACTGAGAGGGACCTAACAGAGCAGGGAGTGTGCATTCCTGGGGAAGGAATGACGAAAAGGAGGGTGAGAAGGTCATAAGTGTCACCGAGGTGTTCATGGAGATGCTGCTGAACTGGTGGTGCATGCTTAGTTGTGTACGTTGTCAACAACAACAAACGGAAATTAAGCAACATCAGAAAGACCCTGTGCCGTACGTTGGGACTGACTCTACGACAATGCAATGGGGCTCCTAGGGTGGCACAGAGATACCCTCTGTACTTGCTGCCCTCCAGAAGGGTGGGGCCTTGTACCACCCAGAGGCGTCTCTGAAGACAGACTGGAGATCTGTTCTGAAAACGCTTCGTAGCTCAGTTCTGCTCTGACACACACGTGGGTGTCATGGGTTGGAGGCACCTGGACAGCAGCTGGCCTGGTTTGGAGTTTATCACCCTAAGGGAAATCAGGAAACCCGCAGCTCACAGGGAGACTGTGCCTTAGAGGGTAGGGGTATGAGGGGCTGCAAGTGTGTCCGCCATCGTGGCCAACATTAGCTGCAGAGGTCTGTGTTGTGCTGTGGTCAGGTGGAGATAGTCTGAAAGGGGCTTGTGCACAGCACAGGAAGGCTCCCAAGCTGCCATGAATGTGAACTACAGTGATACGTGGAAGCCACCTGGCTCAGGTGTGGTCCGTCCTCTTCCCACCTCAGGTGAGAAAGCCTGGAGCATGACCCCAGCCCCGATGCCACCCTCTGACCAGCCCCAAGTGGTTCACAGTCATAGCCAGAGCCTTGCCTTGGACTGAAGGAGACTTTTCATCCTGACTCCATCACTTTCTAGCTGCTATTATGAGTCACAGAACCTCTTTCAGTCTCAGTTTCCCCTTGGCTGGCAGGGTTCCTAAGGATTATGGGAGAGTACCACCACACGGCTCTGGTGAGAGAAGGTGCTCCTTCCCCACCCCACCCCCCAGCTCAGGATAAAAAGTGCAGCTGGTACACCTGCTTGAGGGTGTCCTGACAATAGAAGTCCTCACCCAGCAACCCCTGAACCCCCTCTCTCCATAATGTGGGGAGAGCAGACATAGTAAGATTCAACACCTGTGGGCAAGTCAGAATGGAGCACAGAGGCCCGAGGGCCTGTGGTCCCCCACACTTCCACCCTACTACCCCTTATGAAACCCCCGTGAGGCAAGAACAAAGGTGGGTCCCTACCTCACACCATACACAAAATTAACTCAAAGGGATTACAGACCTAAATGAAGAGCTCAAAGTTCTCTTAGGAAAAACGTGCCCTTGGACTAGGCACAAATGCTAACGCAACAAAGAAAAACAAATACAGCACAAACATGTCTGTGAAATCTATTGTTGTTGATGGTTGTGCCGACCCTGTATAGGGTTTCCAAGGAGTGGCTGGTGGTTTTGAACAACCAACATTTCAGTTAGTACTCCAGTGCTTATCCTATAGTGTCACGACAGTCTGCAGTGGCGGTGCCTGTGTGTCATGGAGTTGGTCTTGCTCACAATGACCCCGTCGAGCGGCTCTGAGGCTGTAAATCTTTACGGCTACAGAAAGCCTCATCTTTCTCCCACAGATTCCAACTGCTTACTTTGTGGTTAGAATCCTAACACAGCACCCCTGTGCTACCAGTCTACAGAGGGCACAAAAGGCTAGTTGTCCTCAGGCTACAAATGAGGACACAGGCTCAGAAAGCTTTAGCAGCCGTCAAAGAGCACCGGCCAGTAAGTGACGTCATCTGGCTTTTATCACAGGCTTGCAGATCTGAGAGGCCCGCACATTTCAATCCTACAAGCTGTTCCCAAGATGTCTGCTAGATCAGGGTCAGAGTGGGAATGGGGGCGCTAATTTCACCTGGACACCCTAGGACCTGGCATGGCGCTACAGGATAATGCAGTGGACCATTAGGTCAGTTTGAACCACAGAGTTAGTGGTTCAAACCCACCAGCCACTCCTTGGAAACCCTATATACAGGGTTGCTATGGATCAGAGCCGACTCAACAGCACTTAACAACCACCACCCTAGGACAATTAGTAAAGATTAAAAGACGATGATCTGAAAACGACCAAGGCCTCACCTTGATCTGCTTGACGCTGTCACCGGATAATTCCTGGATGGGTTTGAGGCTGTACGTCAGACCGGAGGGGCTGAAAAACGTGATGCTGGCAGGGACGCCCTGTAGGGAAGTGACCACCCCTTGTCACAGGCCTGGGGGGGCTACCATAGGAGTGGTTCCGTAAAGAACTGGCTGAAAGCAGGTGAGAGGACCAAGCGAGAAGATGCTGCCCTGTGGACACAGGTGCCAGCTCTCCACCCTTCCAGAAACAGCAGACTGAGCAGCAGAGGGCCTCTCTGCCCCTTCAACCAGTCCTCCCATGCAGACAAGCCACTCAGAAGCCTGTTCCTGGGACGGAGAGGCCGGAGAGCAATGCTGAAGACATCAACTCAAACAGGAGCTCACAGCCCCCCAGATTCAGTCCAGGCTCCTGGGTGGACACTGCAGGCCCCTCCCCAGCTTCCCTCCTCTGACAAGGCCAGCCCCGTATGTCACAGAAACCCCAAATGCTCAGTGCTGTGGGTTGGTTCTGACCCATAGTGACTTCCCAGGACAGTCTCGGGCTACACACCTGCCATGTAAAAGGCCTGCTAAGCCATCTCTGTGGATCCTCTCACAGCCTGACAGGACATTCCCATTTCACAGACAGACATGGAGCCCTCAAAGCCACACAGCAGAAACCCGAGCAGCCACACTGAGACCCTCCCACATGCCCCAGGACACCCAAGCACAGGCCCTACCTGCTTGGAGAAGTAGCTCTCCAGGTTCCCCTGAATCTCTGGGTGCGGGGCCTTCTGATAGACCACAATACTCTCCATGGGGACCCCTGGATACAATCAAAGTGGGGAACAGACCTCACTGCCCTGTGGACATGGGGATGCTTCTGCCCACATTGTACACTCCTGTCCACCCAAGAGCCCCAAATGTGACCTTGGACACAGGGCCAGTGCAGACGGAATTAGTTCACACGAGGTGTACTGCGGTCCCCACGAGAGGACACACAGAGTTGGGAATGATGCAGCCATAAGCCAAGGGCTGGCGCCAACACCAGGAGCAGGAAGACGAAAGGAAGGGTCCACGTTAGAGCCTTCAGAGGGAGGTCTCCAGGCCCCCCAAACTGTGAGAGGCTATGTCTCTGTTGGGTTAAGCCCCTAGGCAGCCCCAAAAATGGGCAGTTTAGGGCTCCGGGAGGGTGGGGTGGACAGGAGGGAGGGGAGCAGACCGCATATGGGAAAGTGCCCAACCACAGAGACCAAATGGACTTCACCACCCCATTAACTGCCCAGATCACAACCACCACCCACCCTCCTGGTAGAGGGGAGGAGACCCTCAGTGGGAGGCACTGGAATCTTCAGGCAGATCCCTAACCGGCCAGCAGGGGGCACCACCTACGGGTGAGTGTATCTAGTTACCTTGGTTCTTCAGCATCCTTGGTAGGGTTTCGCCTTTGAGGGACCCGCAGGGAAACAGAAGCGGCAGCGCTGGTGGGGTCCCTGTAAGCACAGGACCACACTGAACAAGCTACTGGGGAGAGGCAGATCCCGGGAGATGAAGCTGCCCTGGGTCCCTCAGGCCTCAGTCTCAGTATCTGCACAATGGGAACGGCTACTGGGCCGCCTTAGGGCTATGCTGAAGGATGTGAGAGGCAGAGTGGGTGTTGGTGCCTGGAGAATGGCACACACATACTCACAAGAGGGTCGCTGCATCCAGGCACGCCTCCCCACGGCACTGTGCACACTCGGGCACGCGCCCCCATGTCCAGGCAGCCACCGCACCCTCGCACGCAGACCACTGCACCATGCTTCTTCAGTTACCCCCGGGCAGCGGTCACAGTGGCTAGATCAGGCTCAGGGTCAGCTCCGGAGCAAACACTCCCCCTCCACTAAAGACCCTGGGTGCTACTTGCTTATGAGGTCCAAGGGGACACAGCCAGGGCAGCTGGTGGGCAGATGGGTGCCTTCAGCATGGACAAGTGCCAGGCCTACTCCTTCTCTAAAGGTCCCCCAGACCCCCGGTGCCTGGGCTGAGGGATGACTTCGTTTCCAGTTTTGAGGTGTTTACAGAACACTGAAGACAGCCGGGATCTCAACACTGCACTGTAACAGCACCCCACGGAAGTCATGGGTAGAAACGAAGCACTTCAACTGAATCACCTCATATATCCCCTCCATCCATCTCCTCATCAGCCAGACACTCTAATGTGTGTGTGGTTCACATATAGACGTTATGCGTTAGTCCACATGCTAAACTCTCTGCACACACGGTCTCTGGAGACTGCAATCAAAGGAAGAAACGGAGCCAGCTGAGCTGTCTCCCCAGGACAGGTGCCAAACAGGGGAGAGAGTGTCCCTAGTTTGTTTCCCAATATGTAGTAACTATCCAAGGGGGAGTATTTTATTTGAAGCGCTCCCTTCAGGAAACTCTCAGTGGAGATGGCAGGGTGCCGTGGGGTTCTCTTTTCCCATATGAGGAACCACTTTCAGGAGGGGGCAGCTCTCGATACATATTCTCAGAGCACAGGTCAGGTCCTCAGGAGAGAGAGTGTGTGTATGCATGTATTCACGTATGTATGTATGTATAGGATTCTAGCTGTCCTTCTCCTTCCCAGACGTCTGCTCTGGGGCAGCTGTGGGAAGCAGCGGGAAGACTAGAGCTGGAACTTTTCAACAAGCTCGCCTTCTAGTCAGCTGTGCAGGGAGTTGTGGGAAGGCTGTCCGGCTTATCACACTCTCCTGAGGTCCGTGGGGTGGTGGGCTGCTCGCTGGCTCTCACCTCTGATCTGAGGTGTCTGTAACAGCACTCACATGCTTTGCTTCTGACGCCCCCTCACACACCCCCCACACACACACACTGGCCTGACACTGTGTGGTCCTCGTAGGGCAGAGGTGGACCTTCTATTACCACACCCTGGCGGCCACAGATGGATAAGCTCCGCCCTGTTAGCACACAGGGAGCACAGTGGCTGTATAGGGTAAGCACTGGACTTGGAACCATAAGGCCGGCAGTTTGAAACCCCCAGCCCCTCCGTGGGAGAAGGATGAGGCTTTCTGCTCCCACGAAGATGAACAGCCTCGGAAGTCTTATGCAGGGTCGCTGTTAGTCGGAACTGGGTCCCTGGCACAACAACGACAATCCACATACAGGAGTCCCTGGGGTGTGCCTCGGAAGAAAAGCCGGGAGACCAACTTGGCAAAAGTCAGCCGTTGGCAAGCCTGTACGCCCAGCTGTACGCCGACCCACACACACACGGGGTCTCCGGAAGTTGGAACTGACATCAAGTTGTTCCCCGTAAACAAGACTTTGGTCCAAAATGTCCTTCACAACAGAGGGGAGATCTGTCCAAAGTAGACTTCCTGGGGTCTTCTCCCATCCAAGGAGGCAAGGCAAACACAGACACACCTCGAGGCTGCTGTGGGTTCCAGGTCACCAGAGTAAAGGTGATATTACAATGAGCCAGTCGCATCATGTTTTCTTGTGTTTCCCAGGACATACATTGAAATATTTTGAGAAGGACCAACATTTGACAGAGACATGAAGTAAGCACACGCTGTTGGAAAATAACACTGAGAGACTTGCTTGACGCAAGCTTGCCACAAACCTCGCATTTGCAAACAACACTCTGCAAAAGCAATAAAACTAAGTTCAATGAAGCGAGGTGTGTTTGTACCCCACTCCTTTATGGGGCAAGTGCACGGAATGCCTGAGGGTGTACTGTCCACCTCAGGGCTGTGCCGCGGACTCGGTTCCGGTTCCAACCCTGAGACCTTGCAGAGTTTCCAAGGCTGTACACCTTTATGGGCGCAAAAAGCCTCATGTTTCTCTTAGGGAACAGCTGATTGTTTCAAACTGCTGACCTTAAAGCTAGCAGCCCAACCTCATAACCACTACGATACCAGAGCTCCGTGTCTACCTCAGGAGGTCAGTGCAAAGGTTTAAAACCAGCTGACTGCAGACAGTGCCCAGGTGTCCCAGATAAGAGGAGGGAGGACTCAGCTGGCAGGGGCTCCAACCTGACACCAAATGGCTGTCCACAGCCCACGGTTGTCTCGTGGAGGAAGGCTGGTGATGATCACAGGCACGGGCAGAGTACCTAATCAACAAGGTAAGCACAGGCTAACTTATACTTACTTATGGATCTATAGTGAACAACCTGCAGTAAAGAAAACCATGGGTTTCACCCAGGTGAAACCATAGGAAACTGTTTACTACAGATTCGTGAGTAAGCACAAGTTGGCTGGTGATTACCTTGCCGACTGGGTCCTTCATCCTGCCAGGGATTGTAACTTTGATCAAAGGTTTTGAATCTGTGGGAAGGGGCTATGGGGCTGGGGGAGAGAAGGCCAGCCAGACCTGGAAGCAGACTCTTGGATGTGGTAAGAAGATGGCGAGCTGTTCACTGCAGATGAGTGAGTAAGCTCGAGAAGCCCGTATTTACCGGGCACTACGACACCGACACGAGGGATCACATTAGCTGGATGGTCGTTTCAGGTCATTAACATAAAAAGACTAGTTTTGTCAAATGTCTTAGGGGCCCACCCACTCACACGTCTACAGAAATAAAAACGTCCAGTTCTGCAAAGATCTCACCCCCCTCACGTGCAGTGGGAGAAGCCAGCTGAGCTCAGGCAGTGGCACTTAATTATAGATAATTAGGATAATGAGGATGACTGGGGAGAGATGGGGAAGAGCCGAAGCAGGCTGGGAGACAGTAGGAAGCCTTGAGGGTCACAGCAACCCAGCTCCAGGCCCAGGAGGGTATTTCAAATCAACTGCAGCTCCATCAGTTCCCTCTCTCACTAAAAAAAAAAGTTAGCGTTGGCCTCTGCCTTTTCCCACTTCAGTTTTCATGACTTTTCCTCTAGAGGAATGGCCCTGGCAGGGACTAACACGGAGTTATCAGAGGCAATGCGGTCACTGAAGACAGCCCAGGTGTGGTGTGGCGGATAAGCACTGGACCGCAAGGCCCGTTTAAACCAAAAGGCCGGCGGTTCAAACCCACCAAGTGTTCCTCGGAAACCCTACGCAGGGTTGCTGAGTCGGAACACCAACTAAAGCAAAAGAACGATGAATCGAATGGTAGACAATGAGCAAAAGAAGCAGATGCTTTGCTTTTGAAATTGAGCTTCCAAGTTCACGGAGGGAGGAGATAACAGTGCTTCAGAGGAAGCAGGGGAAGGTCCTCGTTAGCAGTCAGCAGGGATTCCTGAGGGCCTAAAGCAAGGCTGGTGATGAATCTGAGCAAGTTACAACGGCAGGCATCCGCAGGCATCCGATGAGATACGGGCAGGATCTGTGACTCTCTGCTGTCAAATCTAGAATCAGTTCAAAGAACTTGCTTAGAGGTGACAGTGAGTGTCTCTTTCCTGTGTCTGCAGAGAAGGGATGTTCCCTTGATGGCTCTAGAGCTCACCAGGAACAATGGTGCAGAAAAGATCCATCTAGTGTAAGCTGGACCTCACTGTGAGGAATAGTTCAGAATGGATCCATCTAGTGTAAGCTGGACCTCACTGTGAGGAATAGTTCAGAATGGATCCATCTACTGTAAGCTGGACCTCACCAGGAAGAATGGTGCAGAACGGATCCGTCTACTGTAACCTGGACCTCTTCACGAGGAATGGTCCAGAACGGATCCGTCAATTGCAAACACAGGCTATTCAGTTATGGCGCTGTCTTCCTACTACGCTGTTGATTCCTACTACGCTGTTGATGCTGTTAAATGCCATCGGGTCGGTTCTGACTCATAGTAAGCCTGTAGATGGATTCCAAGGAGCAGCTGATGGGTTTGAACCACCGACCTTGTGGTTAGCAGTCCAGTGCTTATCCTACAGCACCACACTGGGACTCCTTCCTACCATATAATCAGGAATTTTTCTCTGGAAAACCTAATGTTTAATCCCGAAGGTGGGGTCCCCACGAATCGATTCTGTGTTACTGAGCAGACCCACTTCACAGAGTCTTCTTGGCTGGGGTCTTTATGGAAGCAGATCATTGGGCCTTCCTTCCACAGAATCTTGGGGTGGATTTTAGCTGCCAGGCTTTTGGTTAACAGCCAAGTACAAACCATTTGTGCCACAGGCACCTTCAAACAAGTAAACCACATGGAACAAAAACAAAACCAAACTGCTGTCCAGTCACCCCGACTCACAGCAACCCACGTGCGTCTGCCGCCCAGGCCCCTCGAGGGCTGATTTTTCAGAAGCAGGTCACTAGGTCTTCCTTCTGAGGTGTCTGTGGTGGGCTCACACCTCTGAAACTTCCAGTTAGCAACCACACCTGTGAGCTGTTTCTATCACTCGGGGGATTCCATGCAAATACCAAAACCACACCCTGCCACCAAGTTCCGACTCATAAACACAGATGGGCCCAAGAGGACTGAGTGGAACTGCCCTGTACGGTTTCTGAGACCCTAGAGCTGAAGGAGAGCAGACAGCTTCATTGAGAGAAGGGGGCAGGGCGGGGGGAGGTTTGAATTATTGACCTCGAGGTTCTGTCCAATGCAGAGCCCAAGACACCAGCAGCCTCCTTTCCACACAATCAGGCAGGCTGTGGTTAGGGGTGGTCTACACACTGCAGGGGGGTCAGTACAATGGAAGTGTGTGGCCAGTAGAACCGTGCATCCCCCTAGCCTAGGGCTCTGAGCTCCACACACAGAAATCACGGGGCTTCACTTGGGTGATCTTTTCTACTTACTGGAACAAATAAATTCTGCAAGCTTTTCTGCATTTCCACATTTTTCTCCTTCTGTATCCAGGCCAATTTTCCTCACTGGAAAATACAAAAGAAACGTATTTCTTTACACGGTTTGCAAAGACCTTTGGCTTGCATGTTGTTTTCAACTATTTATAGTGAGTTGGGTGAGGGCTGAGCAGATGATCACTTTGACATTCACTAGTTCACACACATTTTGTTCCATGTCATTGACTGAAGGCCCCACAGTGTCACATCATGATGTAAAGTTTCCTGTTCTCATGCAGATATAAGTCACACAGGGACCTCTCCTGAGGACCAGTGTCGAGAGATCTAGAACACGCTCCCTCTTTCCCCTTCCTGAGCTGTGGCACCCTCTCCCCCAGGGCCTACAGGATAAAGCCCCCACTGTTAGGGAGGTGAGACCACAACCAAATGGGCATCGTGAGCTGACGCGGCCACACTGGAGAAAAGGAGAGGAGGCCTGATGGAACAGGACAACAGGGACTCACACGTCCTTCTGTGAGGTGGCCCTTAAGGAGCTCAGTGAGGTGCAGATGGCTCCCGGCTCGCTGCATTTCCTGAGGAGTGGATCCCTGCTGGTCCAGGAAGATGAAGTGCCAGGGTTGTTAAACACACAGCTGTCAACTGTGTGCAGAACAAAGTCCTCTGCTCAGACCGCAGAGCCAGCCAGGTGGGTCACCTGGTCCCAGGGCTGTTAGTGCTGTTGAGAGTCAGTTCCCACAGAACACAGCCCTGTCTAGTCCTGCAGCTTCACTCTGGTTAAGTTTGGGCCCGTTGGTCCAAACTGTTTCTGCCACTGTCGGTCCATCTCGTTGGGGTGGGGGTGGGGGTGGGGGGACAGGCATCTTCCTCTCTTTTCACTGCCCCTTCACGTCACCAAGTCCTTCTCCAGGGACTGACTGCTCCCTCCTGATAACATGTCTGAAGTATGAGACTCAGCAACACTATATAGGGTTTCCGAGACTACATCGTTACAAGAGCAAACAGCCTCATCTTTCTCCCATTTATCAAGATGTTATTTATTGGTCCAGTAGTGAGGATTTCCATTTTCTACCCGGAGGTGCAATCCATACTGAAGGCTGTAGTTTTTCATCTTCACCAGTACTTCAAGTCCTTTTTGCTTCCAGCAAGCAAGGCTGCGTCCTCTGCATGACACAGGTTAATGCTCGTCCTCCAAATCCCGATGCCAAGTTTCTCTTCAGAGAAGCCACTTCTTGGATGATGTGCTCAGCATACAGATTGAATAAATATGATGAAAGAATACAATCCTGGCACACACCTTTCCTGGTTTTAAACCTTTCAGTATCCGTCCCCGTGTTCTGTATAAACAACTGCCTCTTGGTTATGTACAAGTTCCTCGTAAGCATAATTATACGTTCTGGAATACCCATTCTTCACAAGGTTATCCATAGTTTGTTATGATCCACACAGTGCAATGCCTTTACATTATCAATATGGCAAAAGCAACTGTCTTTCTGATAGTCTCTGATTTCAGCCAAGATCCATATGATGTCAGCAATGATATCAACCTTTGTTATAGGTCTTTTCCTGAAACAGGTTTAAATTTCTGGCAGTTTCTTGTTGATGGACTGCTGCAACTGGTTTTGAATTGTCTTCAGCAAAGTTTTACTTAAATGTGATATTAATGGTGTTGCTGGGTTGTTTCACATGCTGTCAGGGCGCCTTTATTTGGAATGGGCACAAATACGGAGCTCTTGTAATCGGTTGACCAGGTGCTAACCATCTTCCAAATTTCTTGGTTTATACTTCAGTGAGCACTTCCAGCGCTGCATCAATTTGTTGAAACATTTCAATGTTTATTCTACCAAGTCCTGGAGAGACTTCTTTTTCACCAATCCCTTTAGTGCACCTTGGACTTCTTCCTTCAATACCATTGGTTCTAGATCATACACTACCTGTTGAAACGGCTGAATATCAATTCTTTTTGGTAAAGTGACTCTGTGCGTTCCTCGTTCCATCTTCTTTTGATTCTGCCTGCATCTTTTAATAAGGCTCTCTGGTAGCATAGTGGGTTATGTGTTGGGCTGCAGGTTGCAAGGTCAAGAGTTCGAATCCACTAGCTGCTCTATGGGAGAAAGATGAGGCTTTCTACTCCTGTGAAGATTTCCAACCTTGGAACTCTCATGCAGAGCTGCTGTGAGCTGGAACCGACTCAAGTGCACAGAGAGCAGTCTCAATCTGTCTCCCGCGGAACCCTTCAATATTGCAACTGGGGCTTGACTTTTTCCTCAGTTCTCTCAGCTTGAGAAATGTTGAGTGTGGTCTTTTCTTTTGATTTTCTAGCTAAAGGTGTTTGCACATTTCATTATCATACTTGCTTTTGTCTTCTTGAGCGGCCCTTTGAAATTTTCTGTTCACAACTTTTACTTCATTTCTTTTAATCACTTTAGCTCCTCTACATTTAAGAGCAAGTTTCAGAGTCTTGTGTGACATTCATTTTGGTCTTTTCCGTCTTGTGATTTTAACAACTTTCCGCTTTCCTTCTGTATGTTTTATTTCAGTCCATGACTCCTCTGGTCTTCGATCATTAGCATCTAATGTATCAAAGCTGTTCTAAAGATGATCCCTAAATTCAGGTGGATTTACTCAAAGGTCATATTTAGGCTCTTACAGACCCGTTTTAATTTTCTTCAACTTCAGCCTGAATTTGCCTATGAGCAATTGATGGTCTGTGCCACAGTCGGCTCTTGGCCTTGTTTGGGCTGATGATATGGAACTTGTCCATCATCTCTTTCCACAGATGTAGTCAGTTTGATTCCTGTGTCTTCCACCTGGTGAGGTCCATGTGTATTGTCACCTTTTATGTTATTGAAAATAGGTATTTGCAATGTCATTGACTTGTCTTGCAAAATTCTATCATGTGATCTCCAGTATCATTTCTATCACCAAAATCATATTTTCCAACTACTGATCCTTCCTCTTTACTTCAAACTTTCCAATCACCAATAATTATCAATGAATATTGATTACATGTTTGATCAATTTCAGACTGAAGAGATGGGTAGAATTCTTCAATTGCTTCATCTTTGGCTTTAGAGGTGATACATAAATAATAGTGGTATTAACTGGTCTTCCTTGTAGGTGTGTGGATATTATCCTACCACAGACAGTGATGTATGTACTTCAAGACAGATCTTGAACTGCCCTTTGTAATGATGAATGTTATGCTGTTCCTTTTCAATTTGTCATTTTCAGCAAAGTAAAGCATATGACTGTCTGATTCTAAATGTCTAACACCAGTCCATTTCAGCTCACTAATGCCTAGGGTATCACCGGTATGCATTTTACTTCATTGTTGATTACTTCCAATTATGCTAGATTCCTACTTCATACATTCCACGTTCTAATTATTAATAGATGTTTGCAGTTGTTTCTTTTAATTTTGAGTTGTACCCCATCAGCAAACGAATGTCCCCAAAGCTTTACTCCACTTGCGTCATTACAGTGAACTCTACTTTAAGGAGGCAGCTTTTCCGCAGTCATATTCTGAGTGCCTTCCAAGCTGAGGGGCTCATCTTCTGGCATTATAGCATACAATGTTCCAATGCTATTCATCAGGTTTTCTGTGCATAATCCTAGTCTGTTTTAGTCTGGAAGCTCTACTGAAAGTTGTCCCCCCTGGATGACCCTGCTGGTATTTAAAATACTGGTAACATAGCTTCCAGCATCACAGCAACACACAAGTCACCACAGTGTGACAAACTGACAGAGGAGTGGTAGGTAACTGTATGAGGAACAAAGTCCTCTGCTCAGGTGGCAGATTCAGCCAGTCTGGATCACCTGAGTCCGGTGAAGAGGATCTAATGCCAGGGAACCCCGAACTGCTCCCTGAATTGAACTGTGGGGTCAGGGCTATCAGTGACTATGTACTTTATGTTGACGATGAGGCCCTTGTTTCAAATTACCCCTGCGACAAACGGTCTCCTGAGCTGGCTTCCTGGTCCCTCAGGGAGCCTGCTCATTGGACCAGCTCTCAGTTAACGTTCAGTCTGAGGTCTCAGACCCTGAGGGGATGAGCTGGGCCAGACCAGAGTTCTCTGTGGCTGACTGTTCCAACACTAGGACTCACACTACACACAGCGCTCAGAACACAGTCCGCCTATCTTAAGGGCCTTCCCCAAGTAAAGACTGACAACAACGCTCCAAATTCTCCAAACAGCGTTTAATACACACACTGACACCACACTAGTCTGATGTACAGTGTATTCACACTAACGGGGCTCAAATAATGACTGCCTCCATGGATCCAGTTTTCTGGGTTTCTCCTTCCACCTTGGCCTCTGTTGACTTCCAATGTTCCGTTTTTCTGACCTAGTCACAGGGGTTCAGGGGCACCCTGACCAGAGCATGTCCTGACAGCTTCTAAAGAGGGCCGGCTGGACCCACTGATGCAATCCAATCAAACAACATGGCGGATGTGGTGGGGCCTGGCTCTAAGAGTCTTGGGTACTCTCTCCAGGATTTTTGTGTTTTACTTTTTATTATGAATTGAGTGACGTTTGACAGAGCAGATCATCGATGTGACATTCAACAATTCATACACACTGTATTTCACCTCACTGGTTACAAACCCCTCAGTGTAACCCACTTCTCCTACTTCCTCCCTGTGTTTCTTATTTCCATTCCGCCTCCTTTCCTGGCCCTTCTGAACTTTGTCCTTCCTTTTTGATCTTTTGCTGCCCTTTTAATCTCACATGGTAGGTTAATTTTAGGTGTCTGTACCTCAATAGTGTTACTGTCCCCTGACAAACCTGTCTATTGTTTGGCTTAAAACTGAACCACAGGGTTGAGTTCAGCTCCAGGCAGAACCCTCAGGTTTGGCTCTCTAGATTTACCTTGCTGCCAGGCAGGCCAGCTTCGGTGCTGGGAGGCGGTCCTGTGGAGAGCCCACATGACTGGGCAAATGGGAGGCGGTCCTGTGGAGGGCCCACGAGACTGGGCTAAGAAGGGTATTTTCAGACATTCCCCCACCAGGCCTCTGGTGCAGATACTACAGCCCACAAGAGACCCTGTGCAGAAGGACCCACGAAGCC